AGTTCGCAATAATGAAACATCATGTCGTCCTAAACCTGTATTGCTTTCTTTTATCTGGAGCACATGAGAGATTTTGCTGAATGTTCCTGGTGGGTCTTTTCATGAATGTAAATGACAAAAATAACAGCATAAAAGTTTTACAAATGTAGTCCAATTAGCTCATACTCCATATATCTCCATAAAATAAATACATTTTCATGTATAAAGACCCACTTACTGTGTTGTTTACGAAATTAAAGAATTCTCTTTTACATTGACACAGTACTCAAAATAAATTAAATTATTATCTGAGAATATTTACTTTAAGTTGACAGCGTATCTTCTATCCAATTTTACAGTAATGTTAAATTTCAAACTTTCAAATAAAAAAAAACAGATTTGGTTGTTATTTCTTACTCTTTAAGGCTGTCAGTTGAATAAATAATTGTAATTAATCTCATGATTTCCTTTTTTTTATAAAGCAGAAGGAAACGGTATTTACATTAAAATCAGAAAAATTTACTTTTTTAAAACATATTTAATTTCAAAATTGATTTAATTAAAAACTGTGAGCCCTAAAAAAAATACATCCAGTCTTTTTCCCCCTCAAATGTTCTCCAGATCCCAGTTCGAAAAACCCTAGTATGAACTACTTTATGATGCTTTTTTGGCTCATATTCATCTTCATTGTATGGAGATATTCTTCATTCTGCTAAATGTTTTCTTTTCCCTCCATTTTTTTTAGCTGTATATATTTTGAATCCTCAAATATATGGTGTTTTTGTACTTACAATAAATCACTTTTAGTAAATTCAGTAACATTTGTAATTTGAACGTCATTTGAAATGCTTCATGAGATAAGTAGTTCATTTCTTCAAGACGCAACATACTTTAATGTTGCTTTTTAGGCTCATATTCATTTTGATTGTATGGACAACGCCAGCTTGAATATTGTGATAACTTCTCCATTTATGTTCCACAGAAGAAAGAAGCTAATACAGGTTTAGAATGACATGACTTTTTAGGTTGCACTGTTCCTTTTAAACCTCACAGTAACTGTTTCAGTCATTATGCAAATGCTACTTAAGTATGCATTTAGTCAAGCAGACCTTGAGTCTGATCCATTGATATTCCACTGTTCTCATTCGCTAGAGCACATTTTCACCACTGTGAAGTGCTTCAATGTAGAGCAGCGAGGTGCTAATTGACCCGGGATACTCTTGATCCCATCAGTCAGCCCTGAGTCGTTCCCTCAACTGTTCCTTCTCCTCTTGCTTATCTGATCATTTCAGCCCTTTGATTAAAAAAAACACTGAATACGTCACTTGCATTGTGTCTGCATTTACCCAGGGTGCATAAAGAAGCCACAGCATCCCAGTTCCACCTAACTGGGATGCTGTGGCATCTTTATGCACAAATGTTCTGACAAATGTTTGGCATTGATCCTAACTGTCTGTTCTCTTATAATAAGCGAAGCTGCTAAGGCTATAGCGTTGACTTTGTTCGTTCTTGTAAGCTAGGCTCTCCTCAGCGGGGTGGTGGCGACACTGGGATCGGTCTCATTAAATGCATGACCACACGGCCTCATCGCTCCGTCTCCAGCAAACTTCTAGCGTCCTCATTATAGCACGAACCGGCTGACAATAACAAGCCTACAACTCAGGGCTTTGTTTTCTGAATTCTGTGAGGAAAAAGAAAGAAAAGCAAAAGCGCTGTTGTCACTCTGTTGTAATGGGGAACATGCAGTTCGTTTCACGATACATTTGATGGCTAGAGTGCAACTGGGGGGTTTTGTAAGTGTAACTATCTCATTTTTATTCATTTTATCAATAACACACATACCTTCCAATACAGACCTAACATGAGATTGTTACGGTTTTTGTAGAATGTGTTTAGTTGAAAAACTACAGTAATCGCAAAGAAATCAGAAAAGTCACTGTTACTAAGGAATCACAGGGAAAAAAATGCCTGCAGTGACTGGACACTCGGAGAGAGAAAAAAACATTGCTAATGACATTATCAAGCTTCCTTACAACCTAAAACGGCTTATAAACAACGTAACAATGTAAAAACGTGTTGTTGTTTTTTTATTAAATTGAATAGAGGTTTGAAGAAACATATTTATTCCCCATCTACCTGTACAACTGTGACTCAAGTGTGCTAGCAATCTCTAAATACGATCTTTCATTCAGTCAAGAACATAGCCGATCCATGTATCAACAGCAGTCCTGCATGACCTAGCGAGGCAACAAGAAGGTCAGATAAAACCTGAACTTCTCATGTTGAAAGCCTCATCATTTAAACATGAGAGACATTATATTACAGACGAGACCAGACTCTAGATTGGGATAACAAGCAAACAGCTGGTTCTCAGCCAGCTCAAGTGTCGACCACATGGCTCCATTTCCTCGGGAGACGAGAGCGACATGCAAATTTAAGAGGCAATAATTAAGAAATCTCTGTTCATGGCTGAGGTAATGACATATGATGCAAGAAGAATATGATGCATCTAAATCAACCACTCTCGGAGTTTCCCATCAGGCCGATGCACCCGATAAGACTGCAAAGACAAAAACCACTGGGCTATTCAAGCAGAATAGTCTCAATTTTGGGCAAACAACTATATCATATCAAATATCAAGATTAAGGAGCCCCAGCTGGTCCGGGGGCCTGGATGATTGGTGTGCAATATAAAGGCCAGCACATTTAATTCCTCAGGTTGTTTGTGAAATAGTGTAGGGTGAAAGGAGCAAATGAGGAACAGCTGGGTGTTTCAGAGAACCACTGAGATTTCAGTGACCACTGACAAACCACTGACAAATCACAAACGCAGATATTCAATTCTATGTAATTATCTGACTTGGAAATAGCTCTGAAATTGCCAGCAATAATGTGACTCCTATAGCGAGCTTCTGGGGGAAAACTGGAGAGTTTTATGAAGAAAGAAAGCTGAAAATGCGCTGCTAGTGATCCATATGTGTCCCGATATAATGGCTTATCCCACTGCGGTTTATGCATCAGCGAAGCGTTAACTGATGCAAATAAACAAAAGCAATTACTTCTTTTTAAATGTACTAATATGCTTACGCAAAGAGGGGAATTTGTGTAGTCACGTGACTTGCATCAGTACTGGTTCAAGTGGATTTATTGGGGTTATTACCAAAGCACAGTTGATCTAGAACTAATTTAAATGTTCTTTAGACATAGCCTAGCAAATAAATAATGACCACAAAAATAATTTCTATGTATAAATGGAAATATACACTACCATTCAAAAGTTGGATTTCAGTAGTTTTTTGAAAGAAATTAACACTTTTTATTCAGCAAGGATGCAATAAATTGATCAAAAGTTACAGTAAAGACATTTATGTGGCAAAATATTTATATTTCATTTTTTTTTTTAAACTTAATAAATCAAAGAAAACTGGGGAAAAAATCAGGATTTCCACAAAAATCAGCAGCACAGCTGTGAAACTTGAAACTATGAAACTTACCAGTCTACTTCTCAAGAGAAAAATCAAGAGGAGACTTGCACCAAAATCTCCAGTTGATCGTCATTTAATCTCATTGTTATCTAGGAGAAATAATTGAGATATACCCTCACCTAAAGGATTATTAGGAACACCTGTTCAATTTCTCATTAATGAAATTATCTAATCAACCAATCACATGGCAGTCGCTTTAATGCATTTAGGGGTGTGGTCCTGGTCAAGACAATCTCCTGAACTCCAAACTGAATGTCAGAATGGGAAAGAAAGGTGATTTAAGCAATTTTGAGCGTGGCATCGGAGCGTGGCATTGGTGCCAGACGGGCCGGTCTGAGTATTTCACAATCTGCTCAGTTACTGGGATTTTCACGCACAACCATTTCTAGGGTTTACAAAGAATGGTGTGAAAGGGGAAAAACATCCAGTATGCGGCAGTCCTGTGGGCGAAAATGCACAACCTTGAGGCGGATGGGCTACAACAGCAGACCCCTCCGGGTACCACTCATCTCCACTACAAATAGGAAAAAGAGGCTACAATTGGCAAGAGCTCACCAAAATTGGACAGTTGAAGACTGGAAAAATGTTGCCTGGTCTGATGAGTCTCGATTTCTGTTGAGACATTCAGATGGTAGAGTCAGAATTTGGCGTAAACAGAATGAGAACATGGATCCATCATGCCTTGTTACCACTGTGCAGGCTGGTGGTGGTGGTGTAATGGTGTGGGGGATGTATTCTTGGCACACTTTAGGCCCCTTAGTGCCAATTGGGCATTGTTTAAATGCCACGGCCTACCTGAGCATTGTTTCTGACCATGTCCATCCCTTTATGGCCACCATGTACCCATCCTTTGATGGCTACTTCCAGCAGGATAATGCACCATGTCACAAAGCTCGAATCATTTCAAATTGGTTTCTTGAACATGACAATGAGTTCACTGTACTAAAATGGCCCCCACAGTCACCAGATCTCAACCCAATAGAGCATCTTTGGGATGTGGTGGAACGGGAGCTTCGTGCCCTGGATGTGCATCCCACAAATCTCCATCAACTGCAAGATGCTATCCTATCAATATGGGCCAACATTTCTAAAGAATGCTTTCAGCACCTTGTTAAATCAATGCCACGTAGAATTAAGGCAGTTCTGAAGGCGAAAGGGGGTCAAACACAGTATTAGTATGGTGTTCCTAATAATCCTTTAGGTGAATGTAGATGCACTTCTGATCTCATTTATGATTTTTCATATGGGCAGGATTGTGGCGCATCACATAAGGCTTTATATGAATCTGCTCACATTTCTAGCTTGATATTATCGAAAACTAAATTTATTTCCATACTATGATTGATGGCGGTTGAAATGCATGCCCATTTTTTAATTGCATATGAATATTAGCTACAAAAATCTAATTAACCTACTTATCTGCTCTCTTTTAGAAAGTGCGCAGCAGACCGTAGAAAATTATTGACAGCAGATCAAATTAATAGCTATCAGTAAATGTTTATGCTTTGTGTGAATGTGAGTGTGTGTGTTACTCACCTCATAGTGGGCGACTCTCTGTGACTCAGAGATAAGCTGAGCGCTGCACACTTTGCAGTAGCTGTCAGTGAATAACCCCGGATCCACTTCCGTAGACTTCATCTGAAGAGGAATATCAGTGTGAGTATGGTTATTGGTTTCAAACATTCATTAGGAACACTCCAAACTAGATGAGGTCTGAAGTCTTGCGAGACCATGACCATCTCTTCTTTCCTAATATCATTATCACAAACTTTTTAATAGTGCAACAGTGAGAAAAAAAAACAAATAAACACCTGATTGGATAATCAAACAATATTCAGTGTATTTGTACAGTCATAACCTCACCGAAATCAATCATGCAAGATTTCATCGCTGTGACATTTTGGGTTTATCGTAGAGTGACATTCTTTGTGCAAACTGATGAATTCTGTGACATTTTGATTTTGGAAAAAGGAGAGGGAGGTTGGGAGGGATGTATAATGAGACAGACAATAGGAGAGATAAATCTGGCACCGCTCCGTGTCAAAAGAGGCAACAACTCACAACTATATATGCCTGAAGGAGAAAGCAGAGGCATGTGTAGTAGACATCTTTTTAGTGCTGATCTGGGACCATCTGACGCCAACCTTACCTAATACTGACCTTTTTAATCTAGACACTGCAAAATGATTGTAGGTCATAATAAAGAGAGATTTTAATGACAGAAGGAGGTGAGGTCATCCATTCGGACCATGCTCTCGTTTGGAAAGCTCCTGGCACCTGACAGGGATCTTAAAGGGATAGTTCATCCAAAAATGAAAATGATGTAATTTAACTAGTGTAATTTCAAATTCAAACCTCTATTATTTTCTTTCTTCTGTGAAACCAAAAAAAGAGTAGATATTTTGAAGAGTGTTTCTACTGGTTTTGTTAAAAGGGTAGTTCACCCAATGAGCGTGTTGTATTGTTCATCAAAGTGGTACATACTTGTGCTTATCCTGGATGCCGCAACCTGTATTAAAAATGATGATTGCGTTCGCTTGCATCATCTCAATTGGGAAGATTGACTTTTTACAGATTCCCAACGTTTGAGCTCCCATGCATACGTCATTATGCAACAGGAAGATTGCGCTCGAGACTCCTGTGAACGCGCTCAGGACCGCTAGCCAATAATTAACAGCAAATTTTAATTTTGGGGAGAACTATCCCATGAACGCGCAGAGGCTGTGGATTACAGGTAATAATGTTGTAAATAATGTTCAGTTTCTTGCACAGACTGATCGTTTCACTTCATAAGACCTCAATGAATCATCAGAAGCCACGTGTATTAATTTTGTTTTGCCTGTATTGAGAATGAGGAGTCACGTGCCGATTTGGGCGGGGTCTGAGCCGGTCGGCCATGATGGTAGGAGACGCTATCATCGGTTGCCAGGGGCAACGCCTTCAGAACTTCACAGAGGCGCGACTAAAACATTCCAGAAATAGCGAAAGAGAGACAGCGCAGCTTAGTATTTGTTTACATTTTACATTTTACTGATACGCCGCAGTTTCTTTGGAAGATATGGAGAAGGAAGAGAAATGAAAGAGGTTCTATCGGGAGAGACTAAATAACAATGCTAGCCAGTTTAGAGAAACTGCTTGTCAATAAACTGACAGCAGCAACAGCGAGCAAAGCCTGCTTTCAAAAGCAACACATTTCAGCACAGTTCGCCTTTTATTTAACACAAACGAACGAAATTAATACTCTGTTATTCAACTAGAGTTGTTTCATTTGTTATAGATCTGTACCGCGAAATGTTTTAAAAAGACACTTTTTTTAATGACGTACGATTCGCATTGACAGGGGAATGTCCGAACTGTTCGCTTAACGTTGCACGGCAGGTGCAAATGCACGTGTCTGATTCATATCAGGTTTATTTCCATATGAATGAGGCCTGAAACATCAAGTATGACTGAACTCTCGCAGTTTAACGTTACAGGTCTGGGGGTTTCTAAGTCTTGCACCCAGCCGCAACAGACTTGATCAGCTTCTAATGACTTAAAGCTTCTGAACTCTTGCATTGTGTAGGCAGTAACGTTAGGCACTGATACCATAAACAAACCAGGTAATTAACTATGTCAGCGTATGTGAAAGTGGTAGTGCTTTGGGTCTTTCGTCCATTCTGTAGCAGGTCGTACGGGTCCATGTTGATGTCAAGTAGTTTCTCTAAATAACGCTGCTTGGTGTTGTTATTTAGTCTCTCCCGATAGAGCCCCTTTCCTTTTGCTTCCCCCTTCTTCATTTATTCCCAAGAAACTGTGCCTTATCGCAAAAAGGCAAACAAATATCAAGCTGCTCTCTCTCTCTGTCGCTATTTCTCTCGGTCTCACTGTCGAAGTAACCATGACAACGGATAGCGTATCCTACCAAGATGGCGAATCCTTCCCACAATGCAACGCGGAGTGATACGTGTGACGTCACCTTCTCATTCTCAATAGCTTTTTTTTACTCTTAAAGTGACGGTAGCCATTGACTTGCATTATATAAATCACCAAGAGGATGGCCTGAGGATGAGGAAATTAACAGCAAATTTTAATTTGTGGGTGAAAAAAAAAATGAAACTATCCCTTTAATGGGGTCCAACAGCATAACATTGTACCCCAATGAATTTCATTGAATGAACAAAGACATTTTTTAAACTATCTTCTTTTGTGTTGAGCATAATAAAGAAAGTCATTCAAGTTTGGAGGGTGAGTGAAAGATGATCAAATTTTCCATTTTTTGGATGACCTTACAAATTCACCAGGTGTATTTTTTATTAATCCGAAAGTAATCTACACTCTTACAAATAAAGGCTGTTTTTTCAGCAATGCCTTGATGATGTTCTAATCTGAAGTTCCTTTTGTGCAATGGAAAGTTTCCATGTATGTTAAAGGGATCATAACGAGAACATCGACAAATAGTTTTATATTATTGCACCACTGGCGATCAGCCATAAAGAAGCCGGATCACTTTTAGACAGAGGGGTTAAATATTAACATTATAAGTGAACCCCAAAGAAAATCCATGATACCTTCAAAGGTTCTTCATGGAACCAGATGCCAATAAAGAACCCTTATTTTTAAGAGTGTATAATAATAAAAAATAGAAAAATTATGAACACAGACAATAAGGCATACAAAATGGCCTACTTTTAAAATCAGCTTTGAAAACCAACAACCCTATAATTCTGCAGTTTACATGTTTTCCACATGCTTTGATGACTCTTTACTCCTTCACATCCATTTTGAGATTGTCATGGGAGATATTATGGTGCTCTAGATTCGACTTCGGGGGGCCAGATCTGAGCAAACAACTGCTTAGGGCTCATTTGTGATTCAAGGGCATTGCCAACTGAAATTTGAATAATGATAAAAGAGTTTTATATAAAAAATAAAATAATGGTTGTTTTCAAACCCTTTTTTCTCGCCCTAGGGGTAACTTCAAACCAACTAAGTATCCCATAACTATTCCAGACAAATTGTTTAAAGGCAGAAAGAAAGTCTGTGACCCTCTGATGCCCCCCAAAAACTAAATAACACCCTGCAGCATCCAGCAGTCCATGACTTTACACTCAATATTCCAAAATCATTACATCCAAAAAAAAAAGCCATCTATCCTCTCTCAAAATGCATTCTCACTTATGCATTGAACTTTTGATTTGTATAATAATCTGCTTCCTCAAAAGTAAAGCACTGAATTATGGGTTGAACTTAAGTAACTGTTACTACAAAAGCCCCTCTAAATGATAATCAATGGGTCAAATGGAGTTCAGAATAGCACCTGGCAATTTCTCAGAAATTCAACCTTTAATTTAGAAGTGTAGGATTACAACAGTTTAAGAAATCAATTGGGAAGTATACCATGATTGGTCCGACACTATATTTGAGACTTTACCTGTGAATAACTTTCTCAATACATATCAGGTGTCACTCCAAAGACGGTCTAGGAATCCAAAAGTCTGAAATCTAACAAAAAAAGATCAAGAGGAAAAAAAGTAGGCAAGCATTTAGCTTTTTAGACAGAAAGATTTGGCCAGATATGGTTTTCTGAAGAGATGGATCTTATCAGAGTCTCTCCTGTCAAAGTTAATCACGTCAATAAAAGCTCCGGCTAACAAAGACCTGACCAGATGAGCATAACGCTCTTCTTTCATGTGTGGAAAAGTGATTGCTTGCCTCGCGTAAACCCCACAACCACATATTGATTTCCCTTAAATTAGGGGGGGGGTGCAATTTCCATTATTTGGAACATTATAGAATGAAGTGAGGAGAAAAAATATATCATTGAGAGGAGGCACAGAAGAGCAGGTGCTTTCTTTTTATTCCTACAAAACCCACCATTTCTGAGACGAGAAGACAGTTGATAAGTTACCAGCATCACGATACTATACTATTGATGACATTGACTGTACTTATATGAACAAGAATATTCTGATATTAATGAAAACATATGGTCATATTCTGATTATGCAAAAGAGCCATAAACATGATTGCCATAATAACCAGATTAAACCAATATTCCAGTTTAGACATCAAAGCTGACATATTCCTGTATTATTCAGAACTTTTGGTCATGTAGCCTAAATGTCTTAAAAATTACAACTTAAATATGAATTCTGGAATTTGATATACTGTATAGGCTACCCAAAAACGTTATTTTATGGAGCCATATTTGTTTAAAATAACAACACTTGTGATCCAATATAGATGAAGACCCCTTATCAGTTGCTTGACATTTATTTAAATAATGCTCAGCTTTATATTCCAGATTTAGTAGCATTAAAAACGTATTTAGAATATAGTAGTAGTATTAGTAGTAGCCTAGTAGTAATAATGGCAGTCGTAGTAGTAGGCTAGTAGTATGAGGCTAGTACGATAATAATAAACTAAAAAATTTAAGAAAGTTGCGCCTGTGCAAGTTCATGCATTTTGATGAATGAGAAATAATGAACATTTTCTTAAAAGTGAAGAGAAAGCTTACTTGTAATTCCAAACTGTATCCTCGATACAGTTGATCGGAACCGACGTTCAGATGAGGGCTGATACAGTCCATAGAGTGTGTGTGAGGTGATTAGTGATGGCCGGTTCGTGAACGAATCGTTCTTTTGAACCGGTTCTTTTTAGTGAACCGGTCGAACCAGTACACTAAATCGGACTGAATCGTTCGAAACAGTTCGCGTCTTGCGTTAGTGCTGATACACAAGTTACTAAAGTTACTCACTTTCAGACATGCCTGACAGTCCCTCTGACTCGAAATAAACCAATATCCCGGAGTATATTTCACTCCAGTAAATCCAACAGTTTGAAACGTGCTGTTTTTGAGAGTGATGAGCACGAGCTGATACTGCGCATGCGCGTACTACCGAACGCACATGTACAGCGGTTATCGGATCACCAGTACAGAACCGAGAACTGTTTCTTTCGGACACGTTCGACATAATGAGAACAACTGATCGATGAGCTGAGCACGCGTGCAATTTTTTTCTGAGGGACGAAATGTACGTTTCTTAAGTATTTATTTAGTTGAACATCAGTAAGTGTAATAAAAAAAAACATGTTGGAAACATGTTTATCACATAATTACTGTATTATCACTGTATTATTTTAAAGTTTGGAAACACAATGAATGGATTGTAAACCTGTCAAACTAAACATTTATTAAAATAATATTTTCAGGAACTGCTCATTTAATTTCTAAGTAAGTTGATATAAATATTTGATGTAAACTCTTGCCAAAGTTTTAATGGTGCACACTGCACAGTACTGCTTAGTAAATGTTTATAATGTGTTAAAACATAACGTATTAAACATATTGGAGAAGAAAGACATGCATCGATTTTTTTAGTTTTGTCGACTGTATATTCAGGTTTCAGCAGTTCTCAGCTCAGCACACAGCCTATGCTACGGTTCTGGAGTCAAGAACTGGTTGTTGCAGTTCTTGAATCACCAGTACAGAACCGAGAACTGTTTCTTTCGGACACGTTCGATACGGAGAACCGATGAGCTGGAGATACTGAGCATGCGTGATAGCACCGTCTCTAAACAGAACTTTCTTTCAGCCAACTGATGATGTGCTGATGAGCACGCAGCACGGGTGAACCGAGGACTTAAATGAGGGGCCGAATTCGGCGAAATGTAAGTTTATTACAAATAAAATGATGAAGACCACTTATGCACTTTATATATTTAAGACATGTTAAACATCCGCGTTTGCACATCGCCTGTAGGCTACAGGGTTCGTTTGCAAAATGTAAATGTAAGAAACTTATCCAAGAGGATTATTACGATGAGTACTATTATTTAAGTGAAGTTATGATTACAAATGCCTTTAATTTAAAGTATTTTTATCCGCCGGGATGATATAATTGACGTCATTACGCGAGGACGTAAAAGAACTGGTGAACCGGTTTTTTGAACCGGTTCATTGAAACGAACTGTCCGAAAGAACCGGTTCGCGGAAAAGAACCGAACTTCCCATCACTAGAGGTGATGCCGCGCGCGTGCTGCTGCTGTGTGTGTGTGTGTGTGTGTGTGTCAGGGAGCTCCATGTTCGTCGACCGCTCAGTCTCCGCCCCCCGGCGCGCTCATTGGCTGCTGCTTCCGCCAGACATCGGCAACGTGCAAATAAAGAAAATGAAATGTCAGCTGAACATTTGAAGAACGGTGAGTTATTTAAAATGCGTTACAAACGAAACCTTATGTTCTGTTGCAAATTTTTGTTCAATTGATTGTACTGTTAAGATTGAATCCAACCATGCTCATTATAGGGAGATGGAAGGATAACAAAGATAAAAAGTAACACAACAAAAGATAAACAAACAGTTTCGGTGTGAGATGGGCGGCAGTTTGCAAACAAACTTCATGCATCCAGGCCAACAGGTGTCAGTATAAAATCCAAAACCAGCTTTACTTTTATATCGGACTGCACCTGAAATCTCAAAGGTTTGCCTATTTCCCTAAATATAGTTGGCAAAAAACAGTATGTAAAAGAAGTATATTCACAGTACACATAACAGAGTTGGCAAAAAAGTAACCTAAACTGGTCAGGCTGGTTTTGGCCATAGACAGTAAAAGAAATGGACACAGCGACCCCATACTTCAACGGAGAAAAGTGAAGTCAAATAGAAGCACTCACTTCCTGATTGCCAAGCGCACTGCGCATGCTCAAACTGAGCTTGAAGACGTAGTTGTGACGTGAGCAACCTGACTGACAGTTGTACGTCTTCTAGTAGCTGTGCCAAGAGGAATCTGAATCATTCCCTTCTGAATCTTGCAGAGCCGGAGATCGTGAGTATTAGCTGTTCATGAGCTCGCAGCAGGAGCAACTTTATGACTCTCTATGGGCTTCTCCCTTGACTTTATGCCTCCACGTCCCCCGATTGCGCGTGAGCTTCTACATCTGTCTTTACGGTCATTTCTCTTCTATGCGACAGAGAGTCGCGTGTTATGACGCAATGTCGCAATCGTTAGCCTATTTTTACAAAAACTGCTTCTACGGGGCCACAACGTAAGATACAAGGTAATGGATTATTTTATACATTGTCGTGTTTCTTTAGAAATAAATAATGGACAAATGGAGTCTTTAAACGTCTCAGATGTAAAGTTATTCGCTGTCAAAGTGACGCAAAAATGAATGGGAGTCAATGGAATGCTAACAGCAGGTGAAGGCTTGTTAGCCAATGGCGGCGCCCGGGGAGACTTCAGTTTCCGGCTGGTGGATTACCCCCTTGGTTTTGGCTAGTCTCCCAGCCTAGTCATAGTTGGTTTATCAGGCTGGTTCTAGAGGGGTTTTGAACACTTTTTTAGCTGGTCAGGCTGGTCTTAGCTGGTCAGGCTGGTTTTAGCTGGTCAGCCTGGCTGGTCTTAGCAGGCTGGTTTTAGCTGGTCAGTGTTGGTCTTAGCTGGTCAGTGTTGGTCAGTGTTGGTCTTAGCTGGTCAGTGTTGGTCTTAGCTGGTCAGGCTGGTCTTAGCTGGTCAGTGTTGGTCTTAGCTGGTCAGGCTGGTCTTAGCTGGTCAGTGTTGGTCTTAGCTGGTCAGGCTGGTCTTAGCTGGTCAGTGTTGGTCTTAGCTGGTCAGGCTGGTCTTAGCTGGTCAGGCTGGTCTTAGCTGGTCAGTGTTGGTCTTAGCTGGTCAGGCTGGTTTTAGCTGGTCAGTGTTGGTCTTAGCTGGTCAGTGTTGGTCTTAGCTGGTCAGGCTGGTCTTAGCTGGTCAGGCTGGTCTTAGCTGGTCAGTGTTGGTCTTAGCTGGCCAGGCTGGTCTTAGCTGGTTAGTGTTGGTCTTAGCTGGCCAGGCTGGCTATGTGTTCTCTATTTTTCCTGCCACTGGTTGTTGTGACAAATATAAACAATTCCAAATACACTTTGAATAATCTTCAGGAGCTGAGGCAACCATTTAAACAAATTGCTTTTATTTGATATTGCAGCCCCTTAAAACAAACCATTGATATGCTAACAGTTATGTACAAAATTATTAATTGAAATGATTAAAATGCTAAAAAACTACATACAGACGTAACTCTAAAGGCACAGCAAAATCAGTGTGAATTATATAAACCCTGAACAGAGTGTTAAATGAACACTGAAGCAGTGTTAAAAGTTAATGAGATAATTAAGTGATTAATTGAGTGATGATTGAGTATTATTGAAGATACCTGATGGTAACAAACATAATCACTGAAGGAGAAAACCGCGATTTTTAAGCCACCAGTATGGTGATAAGTGTTTGTTTTAGTTGGGCTCTTGACCCTCAAATCATGTTTGGCTGCTGTACATGAGTTATAACAGCCAGATGAACAAATAGAAATGGTGATCTGATGGTGTAGGTTATGTTTTAACATAATCATTATTTCACAATAATTTGACCTGAATCAAACTGTTAGCCTACGTCGTGTGTTAGCTGGGAAGCCAGGGTGGGAGACCAGCTCAGCTGAACCCCAGCTAAGCCAGGCTGGGAGACCAGCTGATCACCAACTTGACCAGGCTGGGAGGCCAGCTGACCACCAATTTGACCAGGCTGGGAGGCCAGCTTGACCAGCTAAGCCAGGCTGAGAGACCAGCTTGACCAACTAAGCCAGGCTGAGAGACCAGCTTGACCAGCTAAGCCAGGCTGAGAGACCAGCTTGACCAGCTAAGCCAGGCTGGGAGACCAACTAAAACCAGCTACTTCCATCTTAAACCAGCTAAGACCAGCCAACCAGTTTAGGCTGGTTTTAGCTGGATTTTTCAGCAGTCAGGGTCATTCCTACTATGCAGCATCTTCATGTCCCCATCGAATATGTATGTCTAATATATTGAAATAAACTCACGTTTTTAAAGATAGATCAATTTTACCTCTTTATTTTCACCCTGTTTAGATTCCTGTTACAATAATCAGATTAAATTATAAAGTTAAAGTGCATAAGCCTGAAAAGAGCATGTTTCCCAAAGTCTGGTATACCTTCATAAAAACATTTCCTTACATTTGACACAAGCATCATTTTGCAAAGTCGCAGAGTTCAACAGGTACTGCATAAAAAGGAATAAAGTAAAGTAGATGCTTCCCTCTATTGGGAATCTGGTGTAAGTGCATGGATGGAGATGATGGACGCAGCTGGGAAGTATTTCGTAAATCAGTTGATTGCTTTACATACCCTATCATTGGATATATAAACATTCGGCTGTCATACGTCATATGATGCTTTTGAGACATTGATATGTTTATAACACTTGCTACAGGCATCACAGTGACTGACTGTCTCGGTATAAAGGTCAGGCCTTGATTGTGGAAATAAGAGACAGAGAATTCCTTGAGCCAATATATCGGCCTATTGAGTGACAGTCATAAATTAGAACAAACTGTTTTTCATATTTTTCTCATGTTGAAAGAACGGACTTGAGATTTAACGGACTCTTCTCTTGTTAGGGGCTAAATGTAATTCAACTCCACAGCTTTACCCCATTCTCAATTTGTCAATGTCTTAAACGAAACATATGAAAAAGATATGTTTATATCCCAGAGGTATGAGATGCCATCAGCTGATTTATGAAATCCTTCCCTCCTGCCAAAATCTGCTCTCACCTCACAGTAGGGGTCAGGTCTGTATCTCGAGACTTGCATGAGCAAATCAAGTCTACAACTCCCATCTCTGCCAAATCCATGATCCACGACACCCAAGCCAGTTATCATCTGTCCTGGTTATGTTAAAACTGAAATGCATGCTGTCCGAATTTAAATGCATCTGATTCAGCATTGAATTTGTGCCTGCTGTTCAAAATTAAGCAAAGAGATAACCATGTGCATTTGAGCTAATATAACTGGAGTACAAGGTTATGAGATGCATGTGAATGCTTGGCTACACTGTAAAAAAAATATTGCTGTGATTATTTATCACAACTTAAAATTCAACATTTAAAAAGAAATAATGTGTTGTTTCAACTTAAAAATGTATGTGTTCGTGCTTGACTTAAAATATTAAGTTTGGTTAACTTTAGTTAGTTAAGTTGGATATTTAAGTTATCTCAACAATTATTTAGTTGTTCTAACTAATTGCAGATGTGTCTTTAGTCTAGATTTAAACTGGGAGAGTGTGTCCGAGCCCTGAACATTATCAGGAAGTTATACCAAATATCGATACATCATGTTCTTGAAGATGTCTAAATAAACCATTCTTGAGTCATTTTCTTCAGGACATTTCTTGGACCCAAAGTTTTGAGAAATACTACACCAGACGAGACAGCATTCCTTCACTCCCACCCGCAGGAGTCGAGAAGGCCATTTGTTTGATAAAATTGTGAGAAGTTGAACAAACTAAGTGAGTCAGATTTATCATGGATCGGGTTTTGCTCAAACTGATCAGTTTGGATACTTGTATGCATGCTAATTAACACTCATAATAACACTGGCGGACATTGAATTGGAAACAGTGATGGCACCAATATTCAGAGTCTACGCATCCCATCTGGCAGAATTCGCAGTTGGCATGTGTGAGAACTTCACTCCAAACCCCATGTGGAAGTATGTTTGCCGCAGAGCCCATCTTACCTCAGTTGCTATCCTGTGAGAGCATCATATTATTTATGGCTTTTAATAGGCTTTTTTTTCTCCTTTCAAGGCTGGAGGCAAAGGAGCAAGTCTTTTTCATTCAATAAAGCTGGGAAATATGCAGCAGCAAAGCCAACAGCTGCTTCTAATGATCATCCCATAGAGTCTGGCAGTCAGTGTCATCCCAGAGCACAAAGCACAGCTATTTGCTTAACCTGGATAAACCATCACTATGCTTTTGCATGAGCTGGGATTGGTCGACTTCTCCTGGGGGTTACACGCACTCGGGTTTTAGCCACTTGCCATGTATGGATTTTCTTTCGAAACGTGTTCCCTGCAGATGATTTCATTATGGGTTGAATCAACTCGAAATGATGTCAAAACAAAAGGTTGTGGGGGTCTTCAAATGTAACTAAACAGTTTTTAAGGAATGTTCCTGGTTCAGTGCAAGTTAAGATCTATGGACAACATCTGTGGCATGCTGTCGATTACCACAGACAATAATTTAGACTCTTCCCTCAGTTTGTAAAATCACACAAAAATGCACTTACAAGTCTATGGGACACGACATTCTAGAAGGTCCAAAAACTTGTATTTAACTTAAGTTATTAGTACTATTATATTCATTTGTCTATTAACAATATTCAAGAGGGTATATACAAACATCACTGGAGAATTGTCTTTTTTTTTTAAGTCATGAAAAAACTCATTTCAAATGATGTAGCATTCTGTGATTGAAATGATGTTGGTAGAAATGACATATTAAACATTTTTGTGTCAGCTCCTTTCTCTGCTGAGGCTAAGTCTCAAATACACACACACACACACACACCAAAAAAATCACCTTTTTTGCATAATTTGACAAAAACAGCTTGATTGGAAATGCTTACATTTGTAATCAAAATTATTCAAGCCCCATTGCAAATCAGGTTTATTGGCAAAATTTACAGACATTCAGCTGTTTGCAATGAACAAATCAAACAAAAATAATTGACGTCTGCAGTCTCAAAATCATTCAACCCCTTCATTGCAAGCATCTTTAGTATTTAGTAACACCCTTTGCTGTTCTGACCTGCAGCAAACGAGATGTATGACCAGACACCATCACCTTCTGGCAGCGTTTCTAAGGAATCTTAACCTATTCCTCATGAGCAATGGCCTCCAGTTAAGTAATATTCTTGAGTTTGCGTGCTGCAACCGCCTTTTTCAAATCCCACCAGAGATTTTCTATGGGGTTCAAGTCAGGTGACTGTGATGGCCACTGTAAAATATTCCAGACCTTCTGCAACCAAGCCTTTGAGGTATGCTTAGGATTATTGTCCTGTAACTGTTGGAAGGTCCAATGACGCCCAACCTCCAGCTTCTTCACTGACGGCATGACGTTTTCTCCTACGATTTCCTGAGACTTCAAGGAATCCATCTTGCCTTCCACACGCAGCAGGTTTCCAGTGCCAGAGGATGCAAAGCAGCTGCAGAGCATCACCGAGCACCACCAAGCTTAACTGTTCTTTTCAGCAAATGCTTCATTTTTCTTCCTCCAGACATACCGCTGATCCATGGGGCCGAAAATAAGTTGTTTCATCGCTCCACAGAACAGAATCCCCAAACTTCTGTGACTCATTTATATGATTTTGAGCAAATTGGGACCACATTTTTGGGTCAGTAGTGGTGTTCATCTTGGAGTTCTGGCATGGAACCGCATGCGTTTGGTACACGCCTTGCAGCTGAAACCTCAGTGCCTGTTGCCAACAAGTCTTGCTGCAGGTCTTTTCCAGTCGCTCGAGGGTTTTTCTGAACCTGCCTTCTCAGAAATGAAAAGCGATTAAAATTATGAGATAAAATGTCATAATTATAACAAATCGAAATTATGACGTAAAAGTAATTATGACATAAATTATGGCAGTTGAAATTGAGATAAAAAAGTAATAATTATGACATAAAAAGTCAAATGCTGAGAAAGGCATAATTATATGTGAAATTATAAGTTCTTTGCGAGCTTTCACTCTTTATTGTTCCACACGTAAACATGTCCGTGTTATGCTCTTTAAAAGCAGCACCTGTGTGTTCAGACTAGAATGATTTCATGGCAGATTCATTGGCATAGGCATGTTGTCAACACCTGCACTATCTGAATCTGATGCTATCTCTTTTGCACACTTTATGATGCTGGGAATGTAAACAGGTGTAGTGCCAAAGGCAATATGAGACACACATGTACACACAATGGCATCACTGAGAGTAATGTGCTCTTACACTTACAAGAGGTATCCGGTCAACATCTTTCAACGGCTCTGATTTGCTGACATTGAATTTCATAGAATCCTGCATGGGTCTGATCACATATGCAGTGCTTTACTGATATAATGTAAACTGAAATCAGATGAATGTAAGTGAGCATTTTGATAAGACCAGAATGCATCATTACTGCAAAGTTAGGTTATTTAAAGTCCAGGCATGTTAGACCATGATAGTAGATACCAGATCTTACTGCTTCACAGCTCATCAGCAGCAAATAAAGGCACTGATTGGCGGGCATTACAACACAGATGTTTTCTCAGGAAAACGCCCTCAGTCAAAAACCATGCAGTTTGCTTTTCTTGAGTTTGACGTATATCAAAAAGCTTTGAATAACCTTGCGTCACAGCCATTAACCATGATTTGTATACATGGAGGCATGCTAGTCATCAGGCGGAGTGACATTCTCTCTCTGGAAAGCATTTGATTGGCCAAAAATCTGTGTAGTAAAGGACGAGTCATGAATATGTTTGGTCCAATTTCCATGAAGACTGTAAATTTGAAATGTGTATTTCAAAGTTGTCAGAAGTACATTAGCATAGATGACCTTAAAAAATAATATGGAATAAAACTTTTAATTTTTCATTTAATTTTTTAGCTGCATATTCTTTTTTTGCTTTTCTAAGCCATTAATTGGGAATAACTGTCTAGATTGCCTTTCTTTCCAGAAAGCACAAGGAGGTAGTTGCCTGTGAAAATTTGGTTACATAAATTGTTTAAAATCCAAGAGCATTTTTTTACAGTATTTATTTGTTTGTTTATTTATAGAAAATCCTCTTAGATCATTTATTATCGTTAATAATTTATAATATAATCTTTTGGCTTTGACATGAAAATATATCATTAACTGTCCTCATAAAAAACAAGAGGGAAAACTCATACCAGCTTTCCTCAGGAGAGCAAAAATGTCCAAATCTCTCCTTCCATCCAAAACAAATATATCTGATCTGTCTATACAAGATACACACTTTGGCTGTTTGCTTACACAGGACACTTGCGGTCTGAGATGTCTCTAATCTGATCTCAGTTCGTAGTGATTATGACGCAGTTATTTCACAGCATGTGCTTTGTTTTAAATCTGGACTATTGGCAGGTCACTACTGTTACTTGTCTTTTGAATATTCATGATTTATAACTACTTAAAGCAGTCACTAATGCACAATTTCTAAGAAAGAATCCAGTGCAGTCGAATAAATTAAAAATATTTTATGTTTTAATGTTGAATGATTACAGTGCATTGTGCAAGTCCTCAGAAATGCTATATCTTACACTTCATGATTAACTGTGATTGGCATCCTATGCAAGCCAAACAAACTGTCAAAAAAAGTGTCCCTTTATTGTTTAAGGTGCATGTATTATTTATTTTACTGAATAGGCTAGTAATAACTGACAGTTGTGATGAATATTATAAAACATAAACATTATTAACAGATTGTATGAATAGATATTAATCCAACTTGAAAATGTCAAGATATATCGAAATGCAGTGTTTGCAAAAACAAAACTCAACTTTCTTGCAGCATAATGAAATGTAAATAACTGTGAATATTGTTTTTTTATTTTGCATTCATTAGAAATGGTGAAGAACATTTTCAATTTGAACTAAATTGCACTTGTTTGCATGTATTCAGACATTTATTGGGCAAACAAACTCTTTTAAAACGGACAAGTTGGATTGGTTTCTTTCTATACTGTAGGCAAAATGTATTATAATGCTATAATAACAAGATTAGTTACCAAATGATCAAAATCACTTGAACACTGCCTCATAAGTTGGACATGTATGGCTTTTAAGTTTTTTAAGGGCCTTCTTAAATTCTTTGCTAGATTTTTCCCACTTGTGAATGCCTGTCAAAATATACTGTGTGCCCACCCTACGACCCATGATTAAGTAGTGGCTCCCTAAGTTTTCCAGTTGTTGGCAGGGACAGTCTGCTCCATTTTTCAGGTAAAGAACAAGGTTCTTTAGTTCCTGTTTTTTCAGAGTTCCAAGCTTCACATGCTTCCTCTTTTTCTGTAGAATGATTTTTCGGTCCAAGTTCTCTATTTTGACTTCCTTAATCTTCGTCTTGATTGCTACAAAAAGAAAAAAAAGAAGATTTTAGATTTTCACAAGTCATTAATGTTCATGAAGGTTTAAATGAGACAAATTCATTGCATACCAATGAAGTCATGAATAAATCTAGAAGATTTATGTAATTTCTAAAACACTACAAGTTTAAACCGTTATTTAAAACATTCAAGTACTGATGGAAAATACAAATATTTAAAGTATGTTTGCTTAAGGTCATTGTTGTATTTCTTTGCCATGGAGATGCTGAACACTTGGGTGTTTTTCATCATCCGTTTTCACATTTAGGCCAAGAACTCTAGTTTATGTCTTTCAGATGCTATTCTGCACTAATTATGCAAAGCTGGATGGTGCAACGTGTTGTATCGCAATATCGTTCAGGGTGTGTGAGGATATGATTCTTGGGTATGAATCAAATTCTAAATCCAACCAAGATCAATAAAGAGATGGCACAATTTGTCCCAAACTTTCCCTGTTAGTAACTAAACAACTAAATGGGTCTTATTACCGATCCCTGAGGCACTCCTCAAATCACTGGCTATTCAAACACTGCATTATGACAGAATTTGCCCGTTCTGAATTTATGTGTTGTGGATAAAAATGTTTAGCATTACCAACAACACAGAACATCTACTAAACATAATCAAACACATAATCAGGCTAACAGCATCCTATTAAAGTACTAGTTCTTAAACTCTACAACAGGGGTGTCAAACTCAGCTCCTGTCTTTCAGGATCAAATCCTTTCAACATCATCCAGTGAGTTGCAAAATATTCTTATTCCCTGGAGCTCTATTTTGACAAAACAGATTGTATGGTGTACTTTCATCAATGAGAATGTATTTTCATCAAACACACTGATGCGGTGGATGGAAAAAGAAAATAGACAGCCAGCGATACAAACTACATCAAGTTTTCCATTGATATCTCTCCAAAGGTTGTGTTGCAGTTATACCTTCAACATAAAACAAGCATTCATTTAACACAAGCACACTGTAACGTAACGTAAAATGTGCTTGGTTGGTTACAAACAACAAGTAACTTTTAGGTTCAGTTTCAGATCGGATAGAAATAGCTACCTGAATAAGGTAACAACTGCATATTTTCATTTTCCACATTTTACAGCGTTGAGACACATAGCTTGAAATACAGTCATCCTATAATGACTAGAAAAAAGCCTTTGTTGGGTCGGTGCTTGATAGCTTGCCATAAAAATAAAAGGTCCCATGAAATTCTTGCCAACGGCAAGCTTCCTGTCTTTGACAACATCTCAGACCCTGAAAAAAGAGACTTGCTGGATTCTGACCACATCACTGGTTCTTAGAAACTGCATTTGTAATGGAAGAAGTAGCTCTGCTTTTTATAAATCCAAAATATCTCCATTTGCGGTCGAAATCTAATAATCCACTGTCAAGGATATGTGGTTCGACAAAAAAATCTAGACATGAAATATACAAGGAGGTTTAACCATGTCAAGTTGCTTTTAAAAACAAACCAACGGGAATGAAAAAAAAAAAAAAGACCAATTCAGCTGTAAACAATACTGGACACACAATAGTCTCAAGAGAGATAGATTTAAGGAGTGCAAAAAAAAAACTTTTTTCAGGCAACAATATTATTGGAAACAAATGTGTGGGCTAAAACCCTGGACCTGAACGGAATCACAATGATGGGAATCAGGCGATCGGATTTTGTGTTCTCTTGAAGTCATTAGGCTCTTGCCAGTAAATGAAGTGTTTTGAAATCACTTGCATTAGTAGCAGGATGCTGAAAAGTGTTTGGAGAAAGATTTGGTTTTCAGTGCATGTTATGTTAGTAAAGATCTATGCCAAAACTCTTCACATCTGAAGTGTATTTCAATATGTTTTAGCCAGATTTCCATGATAGTTTATAAAATACCTCATTTTCAAACATGTTTTGAACCTAGTAGTCTTTGACTTTGTAGTCAGTTTCAACCTTAAGATCAGCATGTTGATAGTAGTCAGGAAAAATATACAGCCACATCCACTTTCTGGACTGTTATTATGTTATTATTTATCTTGAATGCATTGTATTCATATTTTTTTAAATAGACTACATAATTACTTTTTTTAAACACTAATGCAACACATAAATGATTCTTTACCGAATTCACTGCCACACATGTGTTCCAGAATTGCGTCTAAGTTCATCTCATTGTCACATGGCGGACATACACCTAGAAAAGGAGAAAAACGATTATGGCATGTCCTGGCATATGCAAGAAATAATGCTTGTAAATGTAAAAGTATCTTATTTGGCCGATATAATAAAGCCGATGAATAATGGATTATTTCGTTCAGCTGAGACACTTCAGATGCACACTGTTCACCATGATTGTTTTGAATTGCTTGAAATATGATTGGAATCACTTAAAATAAGGAAAATACAGATAAGTGCAACATGTGCAGTGCAGGTCTGTCATATAGGCTACATAAAATTATAATGACAACATTGTTATTTTGTGCTTATAAGAAATTACTTTTAATGTTGAGACGTTTTTTTAATTTTTTAATCAGGCTCTCAAAAATTATATAAAAATTTGGATTATCAGCCAATATATCGGTTATTGGCTTTAAAGAATTATTGTTATCATATCGGCCAAATTTTTTATATATGTAGCATTTTCAAATTATCTATGTTAAGTTTAGTCTATGTTAAATGTAATCTATGTTAAGTGAGAGCTATTACTAAGTTCATAATATCTCATTTTAGTAACTTTATTTGTTTATAATGCATCACAAACACATCTGCTTTATCAGCTTTATCAAACCATCAATATATTATTACAGAATCAATAGGTGTCAAAACATTATAAATGTACTAATTTTTCAAATGTTAGAATTGTAGTAGAATAATAACAAAATGTGGGGGGAAAAAGAAAACAAAAGGTTCTTTTCATTGGCATCTGTGGTGATGAAAATTGAACATCAATGGAATCTTTCCACTCCACAAAAGGTTCTTTATAGTGGTAGGCCTATAGATGTTCTTTAGCTTTTTTAAATGTTCTTAAATCATGGTTCTTTTAAAAACTGCTCACTGTGGGTTCTTTGTGGAACCAAAATTGGTTCTTTTATGAAAAAAAAAAATGTTTTTTAATAGTTTTGGAAGAATATTAGACAAAATATATAGCTTATATACATATATACACACACACACACACACACACACACACACAAATACGTATATAATACACACCTGGGGATTTGTCCATATCATCGCTGCTGCTGTCGTTCATGGCAATGCACACGTCGCCCTCGGGAAACTTGCTACAGTTGAGCATTTGAGGCCAAGGGAACCCAAACGACTGCATGATAGGGGTACAACTGTCTCTAACAGCCTCGCAAAGCCAGCGGCACGGGTATATGGGTCTTTCGAGGCACACGGGGGCGAAGAGCGAGCAGAGGAACACTTGCGTGCCGGGGTGACAGGCTTTGTGCACCAGAGGAACCCAGCTGCCCGCTTGCTGCTTCACCTCCGCTATGGTTTCATGCTCGAGCAAATTTGGAAGCAGCATCTGATTGTAACCCACATTAAAACACAACCGCAGGTCCTCGGGAATGTCCATGCACTGTGGGCTTCTGCCGTAACTTTCCGGTGTCCACACGTAGTCCTCATACTCGGCAGCATTGAGCAAAGGGAGGAAGAGGACTGCAGCGATGAAGACGCACAGCTTGGGGAGAAGGTTCTTCATGGCTCGAGGGAGAAGTAGCCTATCGATAACAGTTATAGGCCTATCCACTACGTTGCACTGTTCAGATTTCAGAAGAATGTATTTGCATTAGTATCTATGCATGAACTGGTTTCTTTGACGTCCTCGTTCTCCTCAGTCCCGATAAAAGTGTCGCGCGCTGCCGTTCGTTTGCGCAGCGCGAGAGCAGTTATGAATGCGAAAGGTGAAACAACCAATAGTAATGCAACCGGCTTGGCATAACGCGAAGATTGCTCAACGTGCCTGACAAATGTTTTTTCAGACAAGAGGAAAATAAATTATTTAATTAACCCCTTCACGTCTAAAAACAGACTAACGGAATTAACAAAATGATACAACAGTAAGCTTGTCGTTTTAATGCAATAGCCACTCACCCTCTTAATACCAGTATTATAAAGAACTTGAATATCTATGTCCCAATTCACGAACGAATCGTTCTTTTGAATCGAATCTTTTTAATGAACAGGTTGTTCACGAGCAGTCTGATCGGTTCTCGAAGGGTCACAGACACAGTCACACTGAGTGATCACACTTCAAATAATTTATGTTGCTTCATATAGTCTGTTGTGTGAGTGAATCAGGGTTATTATAGGTAGCCTAATTAAACAAACGCTTTTTTATTGAAATTAAAATAAAGTTCACTTTAATAAAATCAAATAAAAAGTTACTTTATCTCAGTTAGTTGCCTAGGAAACATTTCTCATTTCCATTTACCCTGATAAAAACTAAAACTGAAATAAAAATGAATCAAATACAGTCAGAGACATATTTAAAAAGAAACAATGGCAAAACTGATATCTGAACAGCTAAATTTGTTGAAGAGGCTTCGGGTTGAAAGCTCTTGTGTAACTGTTATGATCCAGTCTCTTTCTCTTTCCTCTTCCTCCCTCTCCTGGTCACACACGGTATTGTACTCGCAATTACTCTCTCTCCAGCTGTTCCTTGTTCCCTTCTGCTTCTCTCTAGATTCCCCGCACCTGTTCTCTCTTTTCTCTGATTGCGCTTGCTACTTCTTTCCTCTCTTTTCCCTGTCTTTTGTCAGATTGTTTGTTAACCTCTGATGAAAGGAGTTTCACAGATTTGTCCTGTCCTGTCCTGTCTGGTCCTGAACAGTCCTACTGGGAATCATCAGTTGCAAGTACTTTTGTCATTTGTGCTAAATCTGCTCTCTGTATCTATTCAGTACCTATGCTGCCTGATCTGCTACTGTTTCCCGTTGACCATCCATCGTGTGTTTCCCGAGTGACCAGAGGATAGCTGCCGCCTTGCTGCTTTATCCTTGCTGTCTGCCACCCACGCACTCCCAAGGAGGATTCTTTCTGTTAGTGTTAATCTGGCCCTAGTACCGGCTGTTTCTGTTGTACATTTTCCTACAAGATCATTTCAGTTGCTGGCGGCTTCCTCATTTGGTTGAATTAAAGACACTTTGACTGTGATTCGCTGTTGGGTTTTCTCTCACCTTATAACAGTACAATCTGACCAAGATGGACCCAGCGAACGAGACTCCCTTTCATGTCGCGTTGGAACGCCAGGGATCGTTACTCGGCAGGCATGAGGAGGAGCTGACCACCACAAGACGCGTCGTGGAGTCTCTGGCTGAGCAGATGTCTGAACTTTCTACGCAGTTTCATCGCCTCCGTCACGAAGCCTCGGTTCCGTCTAGATCGCCTGATTCCCCGGAGCCCAGGATCAATAATCCACCGTGCTACTCGGGTGAGCCCACGCAATGCCGTGCGTTTTTGACACAGTGTGAGGTCATTTTTTCTCTTCAACCCTCTACCTACTCCAGGGACCGCACCAAGGTCGCCTATGTGATTTCGCTCCTTTCTGGAAGGGTTCGTCAGTGGGGAGCGGCCAACTGGGAAGCTGAAGCTGACTTCATGGATTGCTTTTCCCTGTTTAAGGAGGAGATGATCCGCGTTTTTGACCGTTCAGCGCATGGTGCGGAGGCTTCCCGCCTGCTTTCATCTCTTCGCCAGGGGAGGCTTTCAGTCGCTGACTTTTCGATTGAATTCCGCACTCTAGCAACTACGGCTGGCTGGAATGAACCTGCGCTGGTGGCTCGTTTCTTAGAGGGACTCAACGCGGACGTCAAGGATGAGATCTTCGCCAGGGAGGTTCCCAGTCTTCTTGATCCTTTGATCGATCTCGCCATCCGTATCGAGAAGCGCTTTGACTCGCGCCGACGGGCAAGGAACTCTAATGCTGCTCCACATTCTCTGCTACCCTTCTCAGCTGTACCCTCATCCCCTGTCGCTGATGCCACTCCCGAACCTATGCAGCTGGGAGGCTTGCGCATTTCCTCAAAGGAGCGAGATCGGAGAATATCAAACCGCTTATGTCTCTACTGTGGCTCTGACAAGCACTTCGTCTCGACTTGTTCTTTAAAAGCCAACGCTCGCCAGTAGTAGGAGGAGTTCTGGCGAGCACTACTTCTCTGGTCCCTCCACTAAAATCCTGTACTACCGTCCCGGTTCATTTGCACTGGTCAGGTTCCTCAGTTTCTGCTAGTGCTATGATAGACTCCGGGGCAGAGGGGAATTTCATTGATGAGGCTTGGGCTCTGAGACAAGGTATCCCCCTCATTGATCTAAAGGAGACCACACCCCTCTTCGCCTTAGATGGCAGTTCTCTTCCCAATGTCTTTCGTGAGACTATTCCACTGTCTCTCACGGTCTCTGGTAATCATCGCGAGACCATCTCTTTTTTAGTTTTTCACTCTCCTTTCTCCCCCATAGTGTTAGGGCATCCCTGGTTGATCCAGCACAATCCTCAGATTAATTGGTCAAAGGGCACTATTCTTTCTTGGAACCTGTCTTGTCATGTGAAATGTTTAGTGTCTGCCATACCCCCTGTTTCATCTGTTTCTGTGTTTCAGGAAGAGCCTGGTGATTTGACCGGAGTTCCGGAGATGTATCACGATCTGCGAGCGGTTTTCAGCCGTTCCCGAGCCACTTCTCTCCCTCCTCACCGTCCGTATGATTGCTGTATCAACCTCCTGCCCGGATCCACGCCCCCCCGTGGGAGGCTTTATTCTTTGTCGATTCCCGAACGCGAGGCACTTGAGAATTACCTTTCCGAGGCTCTGAATGCTGGTACTATCGTTCCCTCTTCTTCCCCCGCCGGCGCAGGTTTCTTCTTTGTTAAAAAGAAGGACGGGTCTCTGCGACCCTGTATCGATTATCGCGGGCTCAATGACATAACTGTCAAGAATCGTTACCCTCTGCCACTTATGTCATCAGCCTTTGAGATATTACAGGGAGCTAAATTTTTCACAAAGCTAGACCTGCGTAACGCTTGCCATTTAGTGCGCATAAAGGAGGGGGACGAATGGAAGACCGCGTTTAATACTCCCCTCGGGCACTTTGAATACCGGGTTCTTCCTTTCGGCCTGGTAAACGCACCTGCGGTTTTTCAAGCTCTTGTTAACGACGTCTTACGTGATATGCTCAACATCTTTGTTTTCGTGTATTTGGACGACATTCTAATTTTCTCACCCTCTCTCCAGGTACATACTCAGCATATACGTCGCGTACTTCAGCGCCTTTTGGAGAACCGTCTCTTTGTCAAGGCGGAGAAGTGCTCATTCCACGCAACCTCGGTAACATTTCTAGGGTCCGTAGTTTCGGCGGAGGGGATCAGTATGGACCCCACTAAGCTCCAGGCCGTCACTACTTGGTCTGTTCCTGAGTCTCGCACGGCGCTCCAGCGATTTCTCGGCTTCGCAAATTTTTACCGCCGGTTCATACGAGATTTTAGTCAAGTGGCAGCCCCTTTAACCGCTCTTACCTCGTCTAAGTCTAGTTTTGTATGGACCGATTCCGCTCAGAGAGCTTTCGACCATTTAAAGACACTCTTTACTACTGCTCCCATCCTAACTACTCCCGACATTTCCCAGCAGTTTATTGTGGAGGTTGACGCTTCAGAGGTGGGGGTCGGGGCCATTCTCTCCCAACGCTCATCCTCTGATGGCAAGGTCCATCCGTGCGCGTTTTTCTCTCATCGTCTCTCGCCACCCGAACGTAACTACAACGTTGGCGACCGTGAACTGCTTGCTATCCGTTTAGCTTTGGGGGAATGGCGCCATTGGTTGGAGGGTGCGTCTGTTCCGTTCATTGTGTGGACCGATCACCGTAATCTTGAATACATTCGCTCCGCCAAAAGATTGAGCGCGCGTCAGGCTCGTTGGGCTCATTTTTTCTCTCGCTTCGACTTTACTATTTCCTATCGCCCGGGGTCTAAGAATGTTAAGCCCGACGCTCTCTCTCGTCTTTTTGATTCTTCCACAGTCACCCCTAACCAGGAGATTATAGTTTCCCCTGCGCGCGTCGTCGGAGCTACTGTTTGGGGAATAGAGAGACTGGTTAAGCGCGCTCTCTCTCATTCCATCACTCCACGAGGCTGTCCTAAGCATTTACTTTTCGTCCCGGTCTCTGCTCGTCGAGCGGTCCTTCAGTGGGGCCACTCGTCTAAATTAGCTGCCCATCCCGGCGTTAGGGGTACCCTCGCCTCCGTACGACAGCGTTTTTGGTGGCCCTCCCGTGAGAAGGACATCCGTTGATTCGTTGCCGCCTGCACCGTTTGTGCTCAAACTAAGTCTAGTCATTCTCCTCCGTCTGGCCTCTTGAGACCCCTACCCGTGCCGTCGCGTCCGTGGTCGCACATAGCGCTTGACTTTATCACTGGTCTTCCTTCGTCAGCAGGACATACCGTTATTCTTACGGTCGTCGATCGCTTTTCTAAGGCTGCACATTTCATCCCCCTCTCGAAACTCCCCTCCGCCAAGGAAACGGCCCAGATAATGATTGATCACGTTTTCAAACTTCACGGGCTCCCTTCCGATATAGTTTCTGACAGGGGTCCCCAATTCTCCTCTCAATTTTGGAAGGAGTTTTGTCACCTGATTGGGGCCTCTGCCAGTCTCTCATCCGGCTTTCACCCCCAGACTAATGGTCAGGCCGAACGCGCCAATCAAATTGTCGGCCGCATGCTGCGCAGTCTCGCCTTACAGAACCCCGCTTCCTGGTCCGAGCAACTGCCCTGGGCCGAGTACGCCCACAATTCTCTCCCATCATCCGCTACCGGTCTTTCTCCCTTTCAGGGTTGCCTTGGGTACCAACCTCCGTTGTTTTCTTCCCAAGAACCCGCCTCTCGCGTTCCGTCTGTTCAAGCCTTTGTTGGCCGCTGCAAACGTACTTGGAGGAGGGTGAGATCAGCCCTTTGTCGTTCTAGAACCCGAATGTGTATCGCCGCTAATAGACGTCGTGTGAAGAGCCCCCGCT